ACTTTAGAGTCAACTTCATGACATGAGAATTGGAGCTTCAAGAGCGCAAATGTTACTTAATCTACCTGTTGAATGATAGGAACCTAAAACATGGTACATAATTCATAAGTGAATCTGCCTTGACTATGTTACAGGATATTTATAGAGTCACAAAACAATTGACTGTGGCAAAACGTGACACTTATGGGCTATATTTTCAAACTGAAAAATCAGTTCATATCTATTATCTCACTAGAATCACCTGTAGGAGACTCCACACTCTGTTGGGTCACCAGTTTTTGGAATGAGAATAAATAAGGATCTCTTCCAGTCAGTTGGCCAAGTAGTGGTCCTCCAGATTTCTTGGCACAACTTGGTGAGCACAGGCAGGGCAGCATCTGTTTGATGAAATATGCAAATTGGTATTCCATTAATTCCTTGGGCTTTATTTTTTGCCAAGTCCTTCAGAGCAGCCTGCATTTCCTTCTTCATCACCATTGCCTCTTGATAATATGTTGTTTCTTGAAATTCTTCAGTGCCAGCCAATACTTTCTGGCACAATGACTCTGTATACTCCATCTTCTTTTACTGCTTCCTGGATCATTCAACATTCTGCCCATAGTATCCTTAAGAATTGCAATTCATGGCTTGAATTTATTCTTTAGTTGTTTCAGCTTAAGAAATGCTGAGCAAATTCGGCCCTTTTGATTTTCTGACCCCAACTGCTTGCACATTTCATTATAATATTTTGTCTTTTCTTCCTGAGCAGCCCTTTAAAATCTTCTGTTCAGCTTCTTAATTTCTTCATTTCTTCCTGTTGCTTTGGCTTCTTGGTGCACTAGCGCAATATTCAGAGTGTCTTCTGACATCCATTTTGGCCTTTTCTTCTTCCTTCATTGTAATGACTATTTGCATTCTTTATGAATGATAGTCTTAATAGCTTCTCACAGCTTATCTAGTCTTTGTTCATTAGTTCAAGGCCTCAAACCTATTCCTGAGTTGGTTTTTAAATTCATGGAAGATAGACTGAATGTCAAATTTTGATTCCTGTGAATATGATTTAAAGGTATTTACTATTAATAAATCATTGATAGTACAGAATTCTATCATTCTGTTCCCAGCCTCATTTCTGTCACCAAGTTCATGATCCTTCTTCTTGGTTCCCAACTTTTGCATTCCAGTCACCCATTATTATTAATGCATCTTGGTTACATGTTCGATTGATTTCTGCCTGCAACAGTTGATAGGAATCAGCTATTTCCTTCTCTTTGGCTCTAGTTGTATGTACATAAATTTGAATGACAGTAGTATTAGCAAGTCTTCCTTGTATGTGTATGGATATTATCCTGTCACTCACAATATTGTATTTAGAGATGGATCTAGAAATGGCCTTTTTAACTATGAAAGTGAACCCATTTCTTCTCACCTCTTCATCTCCAGCATAATACGATCATATGATTATGGGATTCAAAACATCCCATGACAATCCATCTCATTTTGTTAATACCCAATATGTCAATATTTATGAGTTCCATTTCTTTCTTTATAATGTCAAGTTTTCCTACATTAATATTCTCACATTCCACATACCAATTGTTAATTTCTTCTTAGAACTGTTTCGTCTCCTTTGTGTTTCCAATTTTTTTTGTGTGTGTGTTTCCAAATTTGATAGCTCAACTTCAGTTGCCATATCTGTTAGTCTACTCTAAGTGTGCTATGCTGTATATAGAGTTTTCAAAGGCCAGTTATATTTCAGAAGTGCATGGCCAATCCTTCTTCCTAGTTGGTCTTAATTTGGATGTTCACTGTTAGAGGAATATCTAACTGACAAACATTTTTACCTACCAGATGAAAGACTTCCATTTAGAAATAATTAATACAATCACTGCCCCCTCCTAAGCACATGTGACTTGTCTCTACCCTTTCCCTGCTACATCCCCATTCCTTGCACACCTGGCTACCTGATCAAACCCTTCCTTCCCCAGCCACCTCTTAATATGATCACCAGTCACTTCTGTGATGCCTTGTACTACACACTGCTGTTGGCCTCTCATGCTGTTGTTCATCTCTTGTTTAGGAGGAGGTAAGTTCAAATCTCAAGTACCAACTTCAGAGAAAGAATTTTGTTGGAGGCTGTGCTGAGGGAAGAACCTGGTCACGGAGTTTCTGCTAAGTTCTGTGACTTACTTTCTCTGTTTACACTGCTGACACAATGTGATAATTCTAAGGCCCAAACATGTCTCTTCTAGATCTGATACTGTGGTGGAGTTTATTTGCCCTGATCCAGGAAGCATTACTAGACGAAGGAAGGAATAAACAGAGTCATTTTATAAAACAGAATTAGCTGACACTGAAATATTTCAGGTTGTACCATATGGATTGAAGCTCAATATCAAGAAAACAAAGATTCTCACCACTGGGCCAATTGGCAGCATCAGTATGGATGGTGAAGAGATTGAGATAGTTAACAGTTTTTGTTTACTTGGTTCCACAGTCAACACTCTTGGTAACAGCAGCCAGGAAATCAGGAGACGAATTGCATTGGGAAAGTCAGCTGTGAGGGACCTCTCAAGAGTACTGAAGTGCAAAGACGTCAGGCTGCAGACTAAGGTGTGCCTGATCCAGGCTATAGTCTTTGCAATTACTTGCTATGCATCGGAGAGTTGGACAGTGAATAGGGATGATAGAAAGAGAATTGATGCCTTTGAGTTGTGGTGCTGGAGAAAAGTGTTGAATGTACCATGGACCACTAGGAGAACAAACAGGTTTGTCCTGTAGAGGGTGAAGCCAGAATGTTCCCAAGAGTCAAGGATTCTGAAGCTTCGTCTGACACACTTTGGGCATGTTGTAAGGAGGGACTGGTCCTTGGAGAGGGACATCATGTTTGGGACAGTGGAGGGGTGGCGAAGGAGAGAAAGACCCTCTATGAGATGGATCGATACTGTGAGTGGAGTGGTGGGAATGAATGTGTTTGAGACAGCGAGGTTGGCACAGGATAGAATGGCATTTAGGGCTCTTGATAGGGTCTCTATGAGTTGCAAATGACTAGATGGCACATAACAACAACAGCAACAACAACAACCATATGATCAAGAGCCAATGGTAATAAAGGAAGTAGTTAAAGTTATTTTGAAGATAGTGGCAAAAAAATAAGACCCAGGAATCATTGAGATAAAAATTGATATGTTTTACGTATTTCCACTAACAGATGTGGCCCTGGACATGCTCACCAATCTATGCAAGAAAATTTAGAGGACCGCTTCCTGGACGATTGACTGGAGGAGATCTGTATTTGTTTCCATTCCCAAGAAAAGTGATCCAACAGAACGTGGAAATTATCAAACAAAATCATTTATATCACATATAAGCAAAATATTGCTAAAGATCATCCCAAAACAGCTAGAACAGTACACTGAGTGAGAACTCTTTGAAGTTCAAGTAAGGTTTAGAAGTGGCCAGGTACCAGGAATACCATTGCTGATGTCAAATACGTTTTGGCTGAAAGCAGAGAATACCAGACGAATGTCTGTTTTTACTTTTTTGACTATACAAGGCTTTTGACTGTGTGGATCATCACAGATTATGGCTAATATTGAGGAGAATAGGAACTCCAGAACATGAAATGGTTTTCATGTGAAATTTGTATCTAGAGCAAGAGTCTGTTGTGTGAACAGAACAGGGTAACATTACATGGTTTAAAATTAAGGAAGGTGCAAATCAAGGTTGTATCCTTTTTCCATATGTATAAAATTTGTATGCTGAGCAAATTATTGGAGAAGCTGGACTCTGTGAAGAAGAATGTGGCATCAGGATTTGGGGAAGACTCTTCAAACTATGTTATGCAAGTGACAAACCTTGCTAAAAGTGCAGGGCACTTGAAACACTTGCTGTAGAAGGTCAAAGATTACAGTTTACAAGAACAAACTGGGAGGAGGGTAGAGAGAATAGTGCAACAATGAATGAATGGAAACCCAAAATCTCTGTAAATGTTTATGAAAATTAATAAAATATAATTATAGAAAAAAAGAAAAAAAAAGATTACAGTTTAGACATTAAGATTAGGCATTGCAAATACACTTTTCCTCCCCAATACATTTTTTTGCTGTTATTTTTTATTATTAGTGTTAATGAAAATTTATAGAGACTTTGGATTTTCATTCATTTATTGTTATACTTTTCTCTCTGCCCACCCCTCCCCATACAAGTTCACTCTTCTCTTTGAAAAGTAAAAGAAAAATTCTTTCTTTTTTTTTTTTTTCCTTTCATTGTTTTACAATTCCTCCCCCGAGGTCCACTCCACTATGCAGCCTTCGTTCTGGACTCCTGTCACGACAATAATACCTAATCACATATCCATTTAAAACAGTTTTCTCCCTCATCTGTTTCAGTGCAGTATACATTATTTATCCTATCTTTCTTGGTCTTCCCTAAACTCCGACGTCAGTCCCGTTTTACAACAGTGGCACTATGTAGTATTTGTCCTTTTCTGACTGTGATATTTCACTCAGCATAATGTCCTCCAGGGTCACCCATTTTGAATATTATTTCATGAGTTCCTTGTTTTTCAATGCAGTGTAGTATTCCATTGTGTGAATATACCATAGCTTCTCTATGCACTTTTAATTTGTAAAGTAAAAATCATTTGTCTTAGGTACAAAACTAACAGACATCTTGAATCTTATGTTGGAAAACTACCACCTCAAAACCATGACTTACAAAGTGTTTAACTATTTCCCCCTTTTCTACTACACTATCGTAACATTAATTATGAGATAATTAGCATAAATTCATCTTTATTAATATACTAAATTAACATACTAAATTCACTGGAAAGACTGTAATGTCCTCATTTATGAAACAATAACAAATATGGTGAATACAGATGATATGAAAGCCTTGTGCAATAATCAAAGATAAGCTGTGTCCTGGCACTTTACAAAGCCCTAGGAGTCCTTCATAGACAGAGGATATTAACAGCACTGAGAGAAATGCACAGGGTTTCTCTTTATAACATTCTATACTTATTGCATCACCTTCTTTGCGGCTTGAATACTTGGTGTTTCTTCAATTCCAGTTTGAATTTCTTTTGCTGGTTGTCTTCCTTTAAAATTAAGCAAGAAGGTGTCCATTCCAAGGTACTTACTCACGGCAAGTATCATTTTTACACTAAATACTCTAGAGAAAAACAGAGGAAGGAAAAAGTGTGATTTTTTTTTTAAGATGAGTCAAGGCATCTTTTAGACAAAGATTAATTGTAAATTGCACTACGTGTGGACCACATCATGTGTCTTGATCTTGTATGCCAGATTTTACTGTGGCAGATTTCAACCCTGATTGTGCCTCCGAGCTACTCAGAAAAATGTGAAACGCCAAAGCCAAGGCCACAGTGCCCACCTATATTCTGTGAGTTCTGAAGACAGACTATGTTTTTTTTATTTACTGTAATAAAAAGTAGTAGCAAACATTAAGAAGAATGCCAGGTCATCATAAACAGAATGCTTGGAAGCAAGGTCCCAGCTTCTGTAGTTTGAATTGTTCCTTGTGAGACTGCAAGGTGCACCTGTGGGGACAGCCACTGCTTTCATCCCTGGGGACAAGACCTGCACCTTCAGCTCAGGCCTACTTCGATCACCTTAGTCCTTCTCAGCTCAACCCAATGAAGAAAATATTGACTGCACTTTTTTACATATTAGGCACCTGAGAATGGGACAATGAACAATTTGGAAAAGGCATTCTTCAAAGAACACAGATATTTTACAAACTACTTAAATACGTATGATAAGCACTTAGAAAAGGCAAAGAGACATGTCATTACCAAATACTTTTTCCCAGTCTGTGGCTTTCCTTTTTACCCTGTTGGAGAAGTTTTTGGAGGTGCATAGGGATTTGATTCTTAGAAGGTCCCATTCATCTATTTTATCTTCTCCTGGTTGTAAATTTTTCAGGATACTTGGAAGACTCTTTATGTTGTGGATTAAGACTACTAAAGTTCTTCCAAGCTCTTCTTGAATGAAGTTTATAGTCCTTGGTGTTTTGTTTATTTTTTAAATTTTTTATTTTTATT